AAATGGCACCAGCATGGACAATTTGTTCCTCATAATCAGGGTCAGAGTGTTCATCAATCCAGGCACTCGACCCCTTAAGCCAAGAAAGAAGGAAACCTTGCTACTGCTCCAGCTGGCAGTAGACCTTGGCATCATCCACATGGCATTGGTTTTGGGTGCATTCAGAATGCAGGAGTTGTGAAGTTAAGACGGCTTTCACCTAGATTTCAGAAGGCCTGGGAGGCCAGACAGTGTGCCCCTGAGAGAGCTGTGTGTGAAGCAGAGAGTGAGAAGCCTATTCAGTGGAAATCCCAGAAGTTTGGAAAAGCCAGAAACATGGATCATCTAAAGGAAACTGCAAAGTGAGAGCAAAGCCAGCCTAAGAGAGAAGCCATGGGAGCTACCAAGAGTGCGTGTCGTAGGGGTGGGACCGTGTAAAGCCTTTGGAGCTCACAACTCAGTGCAGACTGCTTGAGATGTTCCAGTTGGAACTATGGGATTTAATGTTTGCCCTGCTGGATTTTGAGCTTGTGTTGGTCCTAGTGTTTTGTATTCCCCTGTTGTTTGCAACTTTTGGAATGATAATGTTTATCTTGTACCTTTGAATGTTGAATACGTTTAACTTTTCTTTTGTACAAGGGCTCACAGTTAAGTTTGCCTTGAATCTTGGAGGGGACTTGGGACTTGGACTTTTCAGCAATGCTGAAACTGTTGAGACTTCTGCAACTCTTAGAGATGGACTAGAATGGCTTTCGCATAAAGAGATGTGCATTAGTCTTTGGGGGTCAAGGGGCAGAATGTTATGGTTTGTGTCTAGTTGTTCCCTCAAAGCCTCATGCAGTCATGGGGTGGGGACTTCTAGAGTTTGAGATCAACTCATGATCCACTGGGATTATGGGTCTTAGTACTACTGGGATTATGGTTGTGAATGCTACACCCAGCCTGGGGCACATAGCCTAAATGTAGTATGAGAGAGACAGAGACAGACTTTCTGTCTCTGTGGCCATTGTTGCTGCTACTCCATTTACTCTCTTGCTCTTTTTTTTTTTGTGGAACTAGGGATTGAACTCAGGTCCTTTTGCTTGCCAGGCAAGTGCTTATTCCACTGAGCTATCTCCCTGGCCCCTACTCTCTTGCTCTTTGCCAACACCATGAAAGGTTGTCCTCTGCCATGTGCCATTCTGCCTTAGAACCAGCCAAGTACAGACTAAAACCTCCAGTAACTGTGAGCTGAATAAACCTTTCCTTCTTCATTTTGGGTGTTGGGTATTTGTCCCAGCAATGAGAGAAGAGTAACTGAGACACAAATACATAAAAAGAAAATCGCCAACCAAAGAATCATGTACAAAGTGTACAAGAAATCTGTCCATACACTAAAGACCAAAGAATCCAGCTAAGGGCCTGGATACTATGATAACAACCTGCATGAATCCTTTTGAAGATCTAGAGCCCATAACAATGTCCCCCTGAGTCCAACTGCAGGCCTAGAGCCCATGACAATGTCTCACACAGGCCTGTTTCATGGATCTGCACTGGGAAGGCCCAAAGGTCAGTGGTGGAAGCTAAAAAGATTGGGCCAGCATGATGAAGGATCCATGCTAGGAGGCTGAGGGATCTGAACTGGAGCCAGGAAGCAACACTCAACATAAAAATTAGAGCTCCCCTGAAAAGTACAACAGCCATACTCAGCAACAGTTAGGTCCTGAGCTCCTACTCTGAAGAGAACAGCCAGGTTCCCCAGGAAAGCCCGCCTGACAAGGTCACCCAGAATAGCCCAGGAGAACGAGAAGCTTCTAACAGCTTCCCAGCAACTTCTCCAAACAGCTTCCCTAACAGCCTCTCAATAGTTTCCCCAGTTCTGCATCTTCTGCGGCCAGCAATGATCCTCAGGTGGGCCTGCCACACCCAACACCACGCTGGTTCAGTTGAGCTGGGTATAACAAGTTGACTACCAGTTGGCAATCCACTGCATGCATAAAGCCATTTTTATAACCAAAACATGTCTGAATGGAATTTGTATGTAAGTATACAGACCAAAAAATACCCAACACAAGCCAGGTGTGGCAGTGCACATTGTCGCTCACTGAGGGTGAGTGAGGCAAGAGGATCTCAAATTCGAATCTCACCAGGCAAATTAGTGAGAAACTGCCTCAAAGTTAAAAAATAAAAAAGGACTGGGAGCTCAATGCCAAAGCCCTGGTTTTAGTACCCAGTGCCCCCCCCCCCAAAAAGCCTAAATGTTCCTGAAGACTAAAATTGGAAGCTTTACTCTTTCAAGAATGAAACTAAGGGGCTGGTGGGATAGCTCAGTGAACTAAATTACCTGCTCAGGCAAACTTAGGCAAGTGCAGGGACTATGGTTTGATCCCCAGCACCACATGCCACACCAGCTCCGCCTCCAGGGAGGACTGAGCCAGCCAGAGTCCAGGCATAATCCCTGTGCTGGGGAGGCTGTGTAGTGAGGCCCTGTACTAAATACATTTTTAAAAAATCAAAGGCCTGGATCTCACTGTACTGTTACTCCATTAGGAAGCCAAAGGGTCTGTGCTGGAAGCCAGGAGACAGACATCCAAGGTGAAGGTGATGACTGGAGCTCTCCCTAAGAAACAGAGGGGAGCCTTCCTTCTTTATTCTACTTAAATTTTGGGGCCCTAATATATTTTAGTTCTTTATAGAGTCTAGAGAGCAGACCTTTGTCTGAGTGCCTATTAGTTAAGTTTTTTTCCAAATTTGTGCGTCGTCTTTTCACTTTGTTGGTAATTTCTTTTGATGTACAAAAACTCAATAAGAGTTGGTCCAAGTTGTCAGTTCTTTCAAGTGTTTACCATATGATATGATTTTTGTTCATGAACTCTTTGCCTACTCCTATGTCTTTAAGAGTTCCTCCTACTTTCTCTTCCAGATTTAGTGTTTCTGTTTCAATGTTTAGATCGTTAATTCATTTTGACTTTAGCTTAGTGCATGGTGAGAGACCTGGGTCAAGTTTTAGTTTTCAGCATGTAGAGAGCCAGTTTTTCCAGTACCATTTGTTAAAGAGGCTATCGTTCTTCCAGTAAGCGTGTTTAGCCCCTTTGTCAAAGATCAGGTGGCTGAGTGTATTCAACTTAGGCAACAAGCCTATTGGTTGTTGCCACTCACACCCAGTCTTCCATTCTTAGTAAATCCATTTGGCCATGCCCAGAACTATGCTAAGCCAATCAGTGGGCATTTTTTTTTAAACTCAAGACAGTGATTAACAATTATTGGTTGTATTAAATTTACAAATGAATTTTTACTCACCAAAAGATAGTTTGGCAGGCAGGAGGATCATTCCAAGTTTGAGATCATCCTAGGCTACAAAGTGAGTTCAAGGCCTGGTTGACCTACATAGTAAAACCCTGTCTCAAACACACGCGTGTGCGTGCACACACACACACACACACACACACACACAAAGACAGTTTTGGGTTGGGTGTGGTGTCACACATCCATTCCAGCACTTGGCAGGAGGATCACCATAAATTTGAGGATGGCCTGGATTATGCCAGGAAAAATTTGAAACAGGGTCTCACTGGCTTCAAATGCATGGCAACCCTTCTGCATCAGCCTCCTGAGTGCTATATAGTGAGTTTAGGACTAGCCTGAACTATATATGGAGACTCTATCTCGAAAAACCAAACATGAGCCAGGCGTGGTGGCGCACATCTGTAATTCCAGCATTTAGGAGCCTGAGGCAGGGGGATTGTCATGGATCTGAGGCCAGTCTGGGCTATATTAGTAAGTTCAAGGCTAGCCTGAACTATACATTGAGACCCTGTCTCAATAAAATAAACAAAAATACAAAGAACAATTGCACCACACTGCTGGCATAAAACGTTACAATGGACAATATGCCACAGCTGCTCATATCCATACTGTGACCCAGGAATTTCATTCCTAGCTTTATACTGAACAGAAATGTGTTTATGGATGCCATAGATGCAAGTGTAAGAACATTCACAGCCACACCACTCATAACCACTTTGTCTTAGTATGTTTTTTGTGGCTCTAACAGAATGCCAAACACTGGGGAATTAAACAAAACGGTTTATTTTGGTTCACAATTTGGTTATCCACATGGTATTTCGTCTTCTTGGCTTAGTGGTGTTAAAAGTCAGGGAGGGAGCAGTTGGTTTTGTGTTTGAGGGTGAGGGTCCAGGGAGGACCTGAAAGGAACTCCCTAGGTGTGTCCATGTTGCTTTTCTCACGTTTCTTTTCTCCCACTGTGCCAGGGATGGAACCCAGGGCTTCACATACTAAGCATGTACTCAGCACTGAGCTACATCCTGTGTAAAGTGTGCATCTTGAGGCACAGACCACCTAGATTTGGAGCAGAAAGGAAGAGAGAAGCATCCAGTCACAGAGACACCAGAGGCAGACTCCCCAAAGCCCACAAAGAAGTGCAGGGGGAACACCTATCCTCAGCAGTGGAAAACCCCTGCTCTCTCACCTCTCACCCTCAATCTTTGGTGGCCAGGCTATCCTAAAACGTAGGAGCCCAGCAGATCATTTCTAAAGGGAGCTACCCCCGATTTCTTCCTCTAACTGCACCCCCACCAGAGGAGCCTGGGCCACCCTGTAAGAAGCCTGGTTATCCTGAGGCAGGGAAGCCACATGGGAGAAGACGGACCTGCCGGTGGAGAATTTGTCTGGGACATCCAGTCCAACTGCATTTCAGATGACTGCAACCCCAGTCACCATAAGCTGCAACCACCTCAGACCTCAAATACAGCTGGGGATATAGCTCAATGGCATACGTGCCTCTGGCAAGTGCAAGGTCCCGAGTTTGATCCCTGAAAAGATCGCCCCAGCTGAGAATTATCTGTGATAGATAATACTACTTTGTATTATCTATCACAGATAATATTGCTTTTAAGTCAGTAAGTTTTGGGGTGTTATACAGCAAAAGACAATGAAAACACCCAAGAAAGGCTGCAACAGCTTTTAAAGTTTGTGACATTCCCATCTCCACATCCCCTTCACAAAAGCAACAGAGTCAATCGGATTTTTCAGTCTCTTTAATTATGTGCCCTGAGGAGTGGGCAGACAGCAGGCAGGGGTGTGAAAAGTGGCTGTTCTTCAGGCTCACTTGGTCAGTCATCGTCTGGCAGTTGGATCTTGCTGGGGTCAAAGTAGTTGGATTCCATGAGGGGGAGGCCGTTGGCCTCTCGGTATTTCACAAGCCTCTCTGCTTCTCGGCATGCCCAGTCATGCATCCTAGAGGCAGCAGTGGCGGGGCAGATGTTTAAGTTACACTGGATACCCATACCCCTCAGCTCCCCACTACCCAGTGGTATGGGGGCAGGATTTCCAGCAGAGATCCCTCCAACCTTCACCCTGTCTCTGCCCCCATCCATCCCACCCTGAGACACCTCCTGCACCTATAATCAGGTAGGTACGCCACAAAGGTGGTCCCAAAGACGAGCACAATGGAGAAGCCGAAGAAGAAGACAGCACGCATGTTCCAGACGTCCACAACAGGGTCCTGGTCAAAACCATGACAATCTGGGTTCTGTGGAGAAAGAGAGGTCAATGAAGGGTCCCTGTTCTCCATAGAGCTGGATGCTGTCCTTGAACAACCCAATCTCCAATCTCTCCTTCTACATTAAATTCCTCTCTTTCTGTTCTTAAGACATGTCAAGTTTCTTTCCACCACAGGGCCTTTGCACTTGCTGTTCCCTCTGCTTAAAAAGCCTTTCCCCTCCAAGACATAATCTTGACTAGCTCCACCTTCATCTCCTCATTCAAGGTTTTGGCTTCAACAATTCCAATAGGAGACACACCATAGCCACTTTTTTCTATTAAATTGTACCATAACAAAGTGCTATTTTTTTCTAATCAGACTTTATTGGTACATTTTAGATATACATAATAAAACTGCTATTTGAATTGGTCAACAACAGTTACATAGTAGCAATTTCCTATGGTTGAACCTAGTAAAATATCACCCTACACTCAAGTTAACTTTCCATCTACTTATTCTATAGCATTCTATATATCAAAACCTCTAAAAGGGAGGTTAAGTATCAGGGGCTTTTTTTTTTCCTTCTTTTTGCGACGGGAACCCAGGGGCATTCTGCTACCTTATTTTATCTTTATTTTTGAGATATGGTCTCACTATGCAGTACAGGCTGGCCTTGAGCTCACTCTGTATGTCAGGCTGCAACAATCCTGCTGCCTCAGCCTCCTGAGTATTGAGGTTACAGGTATGCATCACCCAGCCCTTTTAATTTTGACACAGGGTCTCGCTAAATTGCCCAAGCTTGCCTCGAACTTGCAATGCTCCTGCCTAAGCCTCCCAAATAGCTAGACCTACAGGTATGTGCCACTGCGCCCAACAGAACCAGGCCTTTTCAAATACAAGCTTTGCAACACCCCAGTGAAGCAGAAAATCACAATAACAAACCCCTCTGCCGGCCAGATAGCTCAGCATGCCACATCAGCCCCACCTGGGGGCTTGCTGAGATGGCGATTGATACTGGGCATGGTGGTGCCTGCCTGTAATCCCAGTGCTTGGAAGGCTGAAAACAGGAGGATCACTACAAATCCGATCTGTGTTTGTGAGACCCTGTAGACTCTGTACTAAATACAAAATAATAATAATAATAATAATAATAATAAATAAAACAAAAACTCCTTCTAATGGGAGCACAGTACTTTCAAAGTGTCAGCTGCTGCTTTGGGCATTCAATGCCGCTAATCACAAGAGGCAAGAGTATCTTATTTTTTAGATGCGTTACTTTTTCCATTTACAGGATACTAAGGTACCAGGCGGTTAAGCTACTTGCCAAAGGTCACACAGGCGAGCAACTTAATGCTTGGATTGCAACCCCGGCCAACTGACTCCAGAGCCTCTTCTATTAATACAACACAGGAGACCCGCTAACTCTAGGCTCAAATACTCGTTCCACCACGTAGCAATTAACATTTCTGTGATTCATTTATCTGCAGAATGGTAACAACAATTCCTACCTCAATTGGTTGCTCCGCAGATGAGTTATTGTACACAACGTGCTTAGAACAGAGGCTGATCTCAAGCAAGCAGCACTGCTACACTACTTGGGCTTTGTAGTGCCACCACTACACTGTTTCTAAAGTGTGCCGCGCGCTATCCACTTCAGGTTTCACTTCTGTAAAACAAAACCAATCCCACTCTTTCCCTGGTCAAGGATTATCATGCCACAAGCTAAAAATCAAAACAGGCACCATTCCCACGTCCTCTAACATTTAGTCAGCTGCCCCAAACGTCCTCTACGAAGCCGCGTCCGCGAATCCCCAAGTGACCCCTCCGATGTCCCCGTTCCCCTTTCCTCTCACCTTCTCATACAAGTTTTCTTCCTCGGGTTCTGGGTCCTCCTGCCATTGTACGGCCGGTTCTGGCGCCCGTTTTCCGGGCAAAGTGGACGGAGAGACCACAGACCTGGAGGCGCTGGATTGCCAGCGAACGCGGGCAGCCAGGAGCCCACGCGTCGCCGCTGCTGCCAGAAGGCGACGACCGCACAGCCCCAACAGCCCCGGCGCCATGACAGATTGTGCCGCAGGCTCGGTGGGGCGGGAGCGGAAATGCGACTGCGCGCAGCTGCGGCGGGCCGTCGCGCGCTTGTGGCTCCGCCCCCACCGCGCTAAATAGATCCTGGGTCCGAGTTTGTTTTCTATTGCGGTGGGGCACTAGAAGCCCTCTTTCCTTATCACGGCCTCTTGGGACCAACCCTTCCCTCCTTTGGGCTAAGGAATCTCGCCTTCTTCGTTCTGATCATTTCCTTGATAGGAAGAAAGAGACGACGTCTGGCGGCCCTTGGGGAAAGAGGTGGGGCTTCTGCTTGTCTTTCAACTTCTAAGGAAGCCAGGCTTCTAAAAAGCGGGCCTTGAGCGAGCAGCCAATAGGCACTCTTTTTCTGGACTTGTGGGGCGTTCACTCGGAGAGTGGGGAGGTGGCATGCGTTTGCCAATCGGAGGAGGCAGGGGCTGGCCGAGAACAGGCGGCGACCAATAGACAAGGCCGGTCAGAGCGCGCTCCCTTAGTAGGTGGATGGTGGTCGGAGCGCCGGCTCCGTTCTCCTAGTCGCCATTTTGTGCTGCTGATTGCGGCCGGCTACGAGTAGGCGGCAGTGACTTTCCCTGTGGGGGCGTCGCGCTTGGCGCCTCTCCCCTCCCCCGCTCCTCCGTTCCGCCCGCAGCCGTGGACTTGATTGTGGTGCGCACGGGCCTCTGGTGAGCTAGGAGAGTTGGAAGAGGTGGCGGCGGGCCGAGGTGATGCCTGGGAGCCCTCTCTTGACAGCCCGGGCCGAGAAGGTGAGCGTCGACGCTGGTCGTGGGGGCGGAGGTAAGGGACCCGGGCGGGGGTGGGGGCGAGCGGGCGCGATTGCGGACCGTGAGTCCTGCAGTCGCGCTGGCTAAGGAGGGATGCGTGCACGGTCGGAAGGGGGTCCTCCTCCCCCCCTCGTGAGAGCGATAGCGTGTGCGCTAGCTGGACACGGGCTGGGCGCACGCGGGCTGGGGGAAGGGAGAGACAGATGGGAGTGGGCTCCTTGAGGCGCACTGGGATGACTCTGTCGAACTTTATCGGTGAGGAGGTGCGTGTCTGTGACTTTCGTTTTTGTCCACGGGGGAGGGGGAGTGCTGGCTGCTCCGCGTTACTTTGGCACTTCACTGTCCACGGGGAAATGCTCTATGGCTCTGGTCCTTATTCAGGGGGGTGGGGAGGGGAGGGGAGCGAGCAAGTGACTCCTGCCTTTATCCTTGCGGTGTGTGTGTACATCTGTGGCTCCAGTCCTTTTCCATCAGGGGGCTGCCTTGTTACAGGCCCTAACCCACTTGGTGAGTGCAGAGCTAGGCGCAGGGAATGTATGTGACTTTTGCTCCTTTTAGGGGAAAGGTGGTGTCTTCGACACTTTGAAAGGGGGTTCGGCGTGTGCTAAGGGACCTTGTTGAGGTTTCTGTGTGATGTTTTAACCCCTAGTTGTGTGGAACTTGCCTTCTTGTGCATACCAGGGTTAACCTCCGACCCTTTTGCCAGAGCATGTAGGGGACTTTCTGTCTGGCTCTCAGCCACTAGGGCTCTTGTTCGTGATTCTAACTTTTCCACGTCGGGAAGAGGTAACTGGCTCCCTGTGTTTTGAGGAGGAAGAGAACGTTGGTGTGTATGTGTGTATATGGAGGAAAGGCGTGGTGGCAACCTGGTGTTGGGCTGGTGCTGCAACTGTCTTGCTTTACCTGATTTCTGTTCAGAGGCGGGGCCTGAAGACTGGGATAGGTTCTGACCCCTGGCTGGGTCACATTCTTCTCCGCACTCCTTTGTCACAGGCAGCCCTGAGCAGTGAATTCACCACACCCCCAGGGCAGCAAAAGGACATAGTGTTTGAGAGCAGTCTGGGAAAGAGCCTCCTTTGCTCAGCCTCAGATCCCCGGGGTAGGGCCACCTTGGGACCTCGCGGCGCATCAGGGCTGGGCCACTTGCTGTATGAGGGCTATGGTTGTGTTGGCCAGGAGCCCAGAGAGGTGGCAGCTGTCCCATTTCCAAGTTAACCCCTTTACACACAGCCTGAACAGCTTCTGATGTCAGGGGCAGCCAGCATCCTGTTGAGCTGATGAAGTGGCCGGGTGGAAGGAGCCTGGTGAGGGCCGAGGACTCTGGAAGTCGTTCACCACTGGGAGGGTGTGCTGCAACAGCCCCCGGCTTGGACTTGCAAACCACTCAGCAAAACCTTATCCCACAGTGGGTAGGTGGTGCCATAAGGCCTCTGACAAAATGCCCCCTGTCTAATGAAGGCTTTGCTGTTTCTAAGGCAGTGGGCTCTCACATCGTGTTTGTGGGAAAAAGGAAGGAGCAGGCCAAGTAGGGGCTGCCTGCCTGGGCCGACAAAGGAACACTAAGAGCTGGGAATCAGCATCGCTGGACAAGGAACAGCAAAGAGCCTTGAAAGGAGGGTCTCACAGGGAGGCCCTCTCTGTCCCAACTGCCCTGACCCCTGTCTTCCTTCTGCTCTCCTCAGAGTCCCTGCAGGAGGCATCACCCAGGCTGGCAGATCATGGTGGCAGCAGCAGGGGTGGCTGGGAAGTGAAACGGAGCCAGAGCCAGCGGCTGAGGAGGGGCCCCAGCAGCCCCCGCAGGGCCTATCAGGACATGGAGTATGAACGACGGTAAGTTGTGGGCTTCTGCCCCTCGAAGGTGCCTATGCTTGTCTTATGTGAGAACTGATCCAAGAAGGTGCTAAGAGGAGACGCCAGGGCAGGGGAAAGGGCATAGCAGATGAATTGTTTCTTTGTAGGATGTGCAAATGTGTCTGGCACCTGTAGAGAGCTAGGACCTGGCCTAGGCTCTGGGAGTGCAGTGATGAATGAGACAGTGTGTCATGGGGGAGACCATGCAGGTTACAAGTGATGGCAGTTAGTTTGAAGAGTCCCACAGTTGGATGTGAGGGTGGAGGAGGGATCAAGAGAAAGAGAGGGATATCTGGAGGCTGAAGCTGCCCAGGCTTCCAGCTTGAGTGACCTGGATAGGTATATGCAGCCATTAACCAAGGGAAGGTAACTGCTGCAGCAGGAGCAGGAGGAACAGAGAGATATAGGAGCAGGCTATAGCGTGGGGTTTGAGAGATGGATAGGAGTGACACTATCAGATGTCAGGAACTTGCCCAGTACAAGTACTGTGTGGGGCAGGTCAGATCAGAGAGCAGGAGGTACCAGGGCCTGAGTGGACTACAGTTGACATATTTGTCTTGGAAGAGATACTTACGGGGTTTTTGTTTTGAGATGAGGTATTGCTATGCACTCAAGTCTTGCGCTCAAACAGTCCTGCTTCAGCCTCTGAAGTGCTGGGATTATAGATGTGCGACACCGCACCTAGCACTATCCCATTTTCTTTTTTCTTTTTCTCTCTTTTTTTTTTTTGTACTGGGAATTGAACTCATGGCCTTGTGCTTGACAAGCTAACACTGTGCCCCTGAGCAGTTCCAAGCCCCAACTACCCATTTTTAACATGTACAGTTATAATATTTTTTTTTCTGGGAGGTGAACCCAAATTTGAGATATGACCCTCATGTAGGTTAGTCACTTTTGACCTTCATTTGAAATGTCTTTTGGAAGGCATTTGATTTTTGGGTGTATTCACTTGGAAGTGCAATGGGCATATCCCAGTGTGAGTAGATGACATGCTTGCCTCAGGCTTATTGCTAAGTAAGGCTACTGGCTTGCTTTTGCCTTGTGCTGACCTGAAGTGTAGATGTTTGAGGTAATTACACTTTTCGGTTCACAGGAGGTTTTTCTCATAGGTCAGTCAACAAGCCTTCCTGTTGCGGTGCTTCTCAGCTTTCTGTTTCCACCCGTGGCCAGCTGCTCTGGGGTGCTTGATGTGCATCGCAAACCAGGGAATGTTTCAAGTGTGTTTTTACTTTACACAAACAGCATAGTGCTACATTCTTGTTCTAGATGCTGAACTTCATATTTTTAACCTGTGCCTGTATACCATGTGTGTATTAGTGCCTCACTTCCTAATTGCTGCCAAGGCCCTGTGGGTATTCCTGCTGTAGTTCACTTAATGATTCCCCAAAGGATGGAACCTGTTCTTATTTTGATGTTAAAGTTACTGCTTTTTTGACTTGTAATTTGTGCTTTCACAATCTTTTCTTTGCTACACCAGATCACAAAATTTTATTCTGTCTGTCTGTCTATCTTTTTGAGACAGGGTCTTGCTATGCAATTCAGGCTGGCCTTGAGCTCACTTTATAGCCAAGGCTGGTCTCAAACTCTCAACAATTGTCCTGCCTCAGCCTCCCAAGTGTATTGGGGGTTTTGTTGTTGTTATTTTGAGACAACAACTTGCTCTGTATCCCAGGCTGGCCTTGAACTTACAGTGATGCTCCTGCCTCATGCTCCAGGTGCTGGGGTTGCAGGCCTGTGCCACCACACCAGCTATATAGACTAGTTTACTCTGTCATTTTTACCTTTTTTTTTTTTTTTACCAGGAATTGAACTTAGGACCTCACACTTGCCAGCCAGGCACTGTTCCACTGAGCTATATCCCTGGCTTTAAAAAAAAAATCTCTTTTGAGACGGGGTCTCGCTGTGCAGTTCAGACTGGCCTTGAGCTCACTTTGTAGCTTAGGCTGGTGTCATACAGTGATCCTCCTGCTTTAGCCTCTCAAGTGCTTGGATTACAAGCGTGTGCCACCATACCTAGCTTCGTCTTGCCTTTCACATTCAGGTCTTTAATTCATTTATAGTCCACTTGACTATATGGTATAATGTAGGTTGAAGTGCTATAAAGTAGATTCTGGGTTTTCTTCATGTAGGGGGCAATTTTCCTAGTGCCACTTCCAAAATAGTCTGTTGTCTCTATTGATTTGTGATACCTCATATGATTGCCAGTCCCCTCATATACCTAAATTTGTTTTGAGTGAGTTAATTTGTTCTGTTACTCTATTTGATTATTCTTTTCTTGTATGCTAGAACCTTACTGTTCTTGCTACAGTAGCTTTATAGACTGTCTTAATATCTCCATCCTTGCTCTTATTTTGTTAATTGATTAACCATCTGTGAAATATATCCAGTATGAATTGCAAGCTTACTAATAAAAGTTTTAAAAAGTTTATCAAGGAACTGGGGTTGTAGCTCAATGGAAACAGGAACTTTATTATTATTATTATTATTATTATTATTATTATTATTTTGTGTTTATGTGCAGTACTAGGGATCAAACTTGGGACTTTGCGCTTCCCAGGCAGGAGCTTATGCCTCTGAGCTGTGTGTGTCCCCAAGAACTTTATTTCAAAGAGAAAAGTTTGTCTGCTTAGATGGCATGAGACTCTAGATGCTGTCTCTAGCAGCACAAACCCTTTAAATCAAGTCTCTCAAAAATACTCAAGAATCTTGATTAATACAGCATTGGATTTCCATATTTAGGGAAAATACTGTCTTTATAAGTAGCCGTCCATACCTGTAAAGTTAAAATTAGTTGAAAGAGCATAAAATATGAATAAATAAAAACAGGTTTTGTCTATTTATTAAAATAATGCCTAGGTATTTCAGTCATTTTAATTGATACCCTTGGTTAAAAAGTGTTTTCCAAGGCCAGGCGTGGTGGCGCACTGCACATGCCTGTAATGCTTGTAATCCAAGCATTTCCAGCACTCAGGAGGCTGAGGCAGGAGGGTCATTGTGAGCTCAAGGCCAGTCTGAACTGCGTAGTGAGGGCCTGTCTCAAAAAAACAAAAGGGCCAGCCAGATAGCTCAGCAGATTAGAGTGTCTGCTTAGGCAGACACAGGGGTGGGGGGGTTGATTCCCTCCCATGCAATGCCAGCTCCACTCCTGGGGTGCATTGAGATGGTGACTGAGACTAGACATGGTGGCACATGCTTGTAATCCCAGCGCTTGGGAGGCTGAAAACAGGAGGATCACTATGAGTCTAAACTGTGTCATGAGACCCTGTATTAAATACATAAAAAAAGAAAAAGAAATAAGTAGTATCAGTGAAAGCAAGGTCTGATGGTGCAAGCCTGTAATCCCAGCACTACTAAGGAAAGGGGATCTCAAATTTGAGGCCAGCCTGGTCAGTTAAGTGATATGGCAAGACCCTATCTCAAAATTAAAAAAAAAAAAAGAAATTTGGATGGAGGCATAGAGAAAAGAAGGGACTGGGAGATGGCTCAGTAGAATAAGCACTTGCAAGGGCCCGAGTTCAATCTCTGGTTCTGCAAAAAAAACGAAAAGAAAAAATATGTGATGTGTGGGGCCGGGGAGATGGCTCAGTGGAATAAGCGCTTCCCTGGCAAACACAAGACCCTGAGTTCAATTCCCGGTTCCACCAAAAAAATTAAGGGGCTGAGGCTGCAACTCTTTGTGAAGGCCCTGGGTTCAGTCTGCAGTAACACTCTCTCTCTTCTCTCTTCTCTCTCTCTCTCTCTCTCTCTCTCTCTCTCTCTCTCTCTCTCTCGGTTCA